ATGTTTTTTCCTACACGAGAATCTTCATACCATTTAACACTATCGATACACTGCCATTTGAGATTCGGGGTTAGAAACAATCTTTCTGACTTCACGTGGCTACCTCTTTTTGAGAGCAGCTTTTGAAGCAGTTGAACTGGGCACTTTGTTGGAATTACTTCATTAGGAATGAACCACTTGCAGCTCGCACACTTCCTTCCCCCCTGTACCGTTTTGATGAAAATGGGATTCTACTCAAACTTCCCAGAGATTTTTCATTTCAGAGGTTTGTCATTTCCTACTTTGAAATGGGATACCATCGCAGACGCTCCTTCACCTCCCTTCCAGACTAACTCCACTGCTATTATCACCCTCTCACCCTCCTCCCTTCACCGTTCGTCCCCTCTCCTCCCTCGACAGTGGGGGGCCTTCGGATTCACCATCCCTACGAGGCCTAAATATGAGGCTTATATATGAGGGTTGAAAGAGGGGGGCCTTCGGATTCACCATCCCTACGAGGCCTAAATATGATCCTTATATATGAGGCTTATATATGAGGCTCATATATGAGGCTTATATATGAGGCTTATATATGAGGCCGTGGCTGAAAATCGGTGATTTCTGGTCAATATATATTCCAATGTGATCAAAGGACTGTCCTTGAGCCTTGTTAATAGTCATGACAAAACCAATCGTACTGGAAATTGAGTACGATGCAAAATAAACGGAAATTCTGTGTTGTCTTTTGTATTCAATGTTATCTTGGGAATTATAACGGAATCACCCATTTTGTCTCCAGTTAGTATTGTGCAATACAGAATCTTGTTTGTCATTTTCCGAACAATGAGTCTCGTTCCATCACAGAAACCATCTGCAAGGCATATATTCCGTACCATCATAACTACAGCTCCAATTTTCAATCTCAATTTGAATTTTGGTAAGCCTGAGATATTGAGTTTATTTAGATATTCTAGTTGAAAACGTAGCATAATATCGTCTCCACTGATCGTATCACTATCACTTGAAGTTGCCATAACTTGTCCCATCGATTCGATTATTTCCCCCGGATATTTTTTCAATACTTGTTCATTCAACATGTCAACTTGATCATTTAAAGCAGCCCTAAGTACACATTTGGCCAGATTATCTTCATCGAATTTCTTGAGATATACAGGTTCTCTTACATTATTATAGAGCATAGAATCAGGAATTTGTTCTTCATTGATGTGAATATTTCCAATATCAAGCAACCATTTATTGAAGCACTTACAATCAATCCGCATATTAAGTGTTAACGGGTAATGTTTCATTGAATTCCAAAATGGAAATTTTGTTGCATATGCATTTATAATTTGTTTTCGTCTTGCTCGTTTCACAATGGGTAATATTTGTCGAAAATCTCCATCAAACAACAGACATTTTCCACTAAATAATTCTTCAGATTTCATCAAATCTTTCTGAGTGACATCAATCATCTTCAAGGCGGTATTAGGGATCATTGAAGCTTCTTCCCAAATTATTATATCCGCTTGTGTTAAATTAGTTTTTGCCCGTTTAGTAAGACATATCAGATTTATGTCATCAAGATTTTCTGGTAGATTGATTGGTAATTTAAAAAATCGATGAGCAGTACATTCTTTTGGTAATAAAATGGCTGCTATACCAGTCCAGGCTATGGACACAATATTTTTTCCTAAGCTGCACCAGTGATGGTATAAACATTTATATAAGAAAGTTTTTCCTGTTCCTCCAGGTCCATCAAGGAAAAATCAATCAATAAAAATCTCTTAAGAATCAATAAAATATTTCTTAGAGAGGGAAAGCGAGCCTAGCGAGCGAAGGACAGCAAAAGTATATGAAGACTACTATATATGAGGCTCACGGCACTATAAAATGAAAAAATCCCCAGAAAATCTATGGGGTCGTATGGGGGTCATATGTTGGTTGAAGCCTTTCTCCGTATCGCGGAAACTAACAGCTGCATTTTAACCACACCAAAGAACAAAAAATAGTATCCAATAATTAATGTTTCAAGATTTGAATGAAAAACGAACTGTCCACCCGCCCGGGAATAGGCGAGCGAAGCGAGCAGGGGGTGAAGCCCCCTAGTTGAGAATAACTCCTTCTGAAAGCCTTCTGACGTATTTTCATCGTGGACCTTCACCATTGCGTCAATGTCATTTCTTCCCTGGGCAGGTGAACTTTGCTTATGTTCCTGAGAATCGGCTTGCAGAAGGCATGTTTTGGTATTTTTGGCCTCACGAGCTTCTTGAAAAACAGGGCTTGAGAATGGGTCGACTTCTCTCTTGAACTCGGTAAAGTACATCTCTTTCAGTAATTTCGCGGTCTGATTCCACATAGTCTTCACCACCGCTTCCTTGTAGTCTTCACCGTTGTTTTTCCTCATATTAAAAGCCCAGTCCTTCATGATATTCGCGAGGGTCCCATCGGGACTCATCGCATCCAATACATACTTCTTCTCCGCACAAAATCCAGAAAACTGACCCTAAATCGACTTCTTACTCTTCTCTATATTCGAAGGAATGTTTTGTTTTTTTTTGCGGATATTCTCCAAGAATTCACCACCAAATCGATTGGTGTTCTCACTCATAACGACAAATGTAAATGTCAGTTTGACGTTTCTCACATAAAATAAAACAAAAACAAAAACGTATCTCACATGGACATAAGTTCAAGCAACTGAAAATTCTTTGTTTATTGCTTAGCAACTGCAGGGAAATTATCGGAAAATTACCGATATAATTTTCTCCGCTCTTATCGGTTGAAATTCGGGAGGAGGAAATAATCTGTGAAATTCGAAATTTTACAGCCTTTTTTCCGTAAACAAACTTTGTATCATCCTTTTAGGAATGGATAGTGATCTGTTTATAGAAATTCAATTTTTTCTAACAGTAAAATTGTCAAAATCAGTAATAGAAATCAATGTAACATTTTTGCATCACAAGCAACGTTCTTACGACATGTTTTGTTTTCGCTTCACGCTTGACCCTCATGACCCCTGAAAACATGGATCAAAAAAGTGAGACTCCAAGAAACGTTTTCTACAATAAAGTCAAACAAAATGTGTTTTCTTTCTCCCTTTGGTCATTTTTTCTCTCGTATCACATTTATTCCCTCTTATCACCAATTCTGAAACGTTCTCATTGAAAATCAATCGAAGTTTCAATTATTGATTTGGTGAACTTTCTATTCCAGAATTTAATCATTTTCTTCAATAAAAAAATTGATAATATTAACTCGAATTTTCACATCCAGATTTTCTTCTTCTGTACAGCCTTTATTTGCTTCCACCTCAACGATGTTCGTTATATTGCGAATAGATTCATCATGAAAGATATTAGTATAAAAAAAACAACAAACATCGGCAATTCATTCTGCCCCAGGGATGTGATTTGCCCGCCCTCTCCATTTTATCCTACTCTCCCCTATATGTGAAAATTCGGGCTCAACTTGACATAAAAATAGAAAAGGAATTCATAGGAACTTGTCAATTGATCAATTGTGAATGGCCTTCAAAATCAATTTGCGCGGCTCTTTGCGCCCGAAAATTTTTCACAAACATGCTCAAGTAGGTTTTGCCAGCAATGTGAAAACCAACGAGATAAGTCTCTCGACACAAACCACTCGAGGTCTCCAAAAACTCAGAGAGAATCTCTCGAAATCTATACAGACTTAAAACGATTGACATATACTGGGAATTGTTATCCCCGGTGTAATACTGTAATCGTGATGCGTATTTGCAATTAAGGATTTTTTCTACGAATTTTTTTATTTCAAGTATTGGAGCTTTTCCTACAAGGTCTTTTCATTGCAATTAATCTATATTGGAGTAATTTTCAACAGGAATTTCTGGATGCCTCATGTTAAATGGACACACGGAAAAACCTCGTAAATTACGTTTAATAAGTCATCTTTTATGGTTTCTGAAGCGTATTTCAAGCTTAAAGTTGAACTGTAAATTGTGCTTAAAATAGTCGTAAATTACGATTACATGAACGAAATTTACGATTTCGCAATCGTAAATTACGCTCGAAATTGTCGTGAATTTTGTTTGGCTAATCGTAATTTATGACGATTCTAAATGCAAATTACGTTTACGTCATTCACGTTTTGGTAAGCGTAAATTACGCTTTTTAAAGCCCAAATTCCGATTTTCATGACGAAAAAAAAAGCCACCAGGGATCATATTGACGTTAAGCGTAAATTATATGAGGATACCATGATCGTATAAAAAATAATCCAAATCCCATAGTTTTCTACGTCAAATTGTTGAATTTCCAGAGAAGAAAGAAGAAACGAAAGAGAACATTTTTTTCCATTTTTGTAATGTTTTCCAAAAATTTGTTATTGTCAATAAATAACCACAAACCGCTGAGGCGGTTGATCGTCTCCATAAACTAATTAGCTCACCCAGTGGTTGTGAATTCTCAAAACACAACCACTCGCCTTCCCCCTAAATTTTCAGTAAAAATTCGCCATCTCCGTTAGTTTTGGAGATATTTTTGAAAAACAAACCGACTCAATTTTTGGGTTGTTAATTCTCAATGCCCCCCCTCCTTCCCGCCCGCACTAATTTTCAATACACAATGCTCCCCTCTCCCGCCCATTTTTTCGGTAAATAATATATATGACCACTCATATAAATCCACCCTTTTTATGCCCTGTTCCGCACTTAGACCCCCTTATATAAAACCCTCTCCCCATTGATAAAACCACCATTCAATAAAATCCCCCCGTCTATGAGACCCCCCGGATATCACATTTTTTGGTCACCCCTGGTAATCAAAAAATGAAAAATCTCGATTAAAAAATTGACGGTATAATTGTAATTAGAGCTTAAAATATTACAAAAGTAATGATTACTCCCGAAACCAGAATATTCGTATTGAAACTTTCCAAACCCGTGACGTAGATTATCCAAAATTCGTCGCGTGACCTCTTTGGTGAAAAATTCTGTAAACTCAAGGAAAAAAATCATTTCTTCCTCGAAATATTCTCGAATGACCAACTCAAATGATCAACTCGTCTGCGCAGGCCACTCAATCTCAGTGGAAGCATCCAATAAGATCCAATTCTGGGGAGACCTTCTGCAAATAAAACGTGTTGACGGCCAAGATGCTGGAAGATACGTGTGTCACGCAACGAATCAGTACGGAGAAGAGCGAGCGGAGACGCATCTCTCGGTCACCTCAAAGCTAAACGCCCGAATCCAGCCAAGAATTCAAGTAGTAAATTCTGGTGAGTCAGCTACGATGAATTGCACTGTTGAGGGGTACCCAATTGAGAGTGTCGAGTGGCTGCATGATGGCATCCCGGTTCTAACAGCCCAAGAAACCAGGATTCGGTTACCGGTACCCCTAGTTCTCGTCGTTGGTTCAGTTGGCAGAAGAGATAAGGGAATGTACCAGTGTTTAGTCAGAAGTGACAAAGAAAATGCTCAAGCAACTGCTGAACTTAAATTAGGTGATACTGTACCAGAGCTGCAGTACACGTTCATTGAACAGGCCCTCAGGCCTGGACCACCGGTTTCATTAAGGTGCTCGGCAACTGGCTCACCACCACCATCCTTCACGTGGTTATTGGATGGAGAGTCCCTGAGCGAACTCGCTCATAGTCATAGGTATGTGATTACTTGCTTGTTATTATAATAATACTAGGCTTAAACATGTGTAAATAATCGTAAGTGGAGTTTTTTGCATCGAGGCTTTCTTCATTCTGCAAAATACTCAGGATTAGGCATTCTTCGAAAATTAAAGTTTTTGACTTGACCTTGTGGATTTGATAATTGATCACAAAGGCATCAGAAATGTTGAAATTTGTGATAAACTTTAAAAATCGCCATAGGCACCATTCAGTTCGGAATTCAAATAATTATATGGATGCTATATAGATGTTATTTTATAAGTCGGATAGCATGAATATCACATAAAAATGTTGAACATAAAAGTGAAAAATATGAGTCGAGGATGAGCACCAAGTATAAAGGTTAAGCCATTTTGTGTTCGGAAACGTCTAGATTTAATTATATGAAGATCTTGGCAGGACGGATGTTTATCATTTTCTTTCCATGAGCATTTATTTATCTAACTAGTCGCCAGGCATGAGTGAGATTTCCTCTCACGCAACGATAGTCAATCTATAAAATGTTCACACGGTATGGGTGAACCATTAAATAGAGGACAACTGCTGAAATTCCATCAAATTTGACTATTTGAGAATTTTATACTGCACAGCGAGCTGTTCAGGTTCAGCGGAGTATCGAATTATTTCATCAGAATCATTGACTTTGATTTCTTTAAGGGCTTATTTATGCTTGATTCTTCGAATTGACTCTTGGACCTTTCGGTAAAAATGCAATAGGTTTACTCAACGGTGTTCGTCTGTGCCGTGTAATATGGGAAATGTCAGAAATCTTGTGAATAATTGATCGAGTGTTTGATGGATTGGAATTCACAAATTCCCTCAGATAGCCTCTGCGGTGATATTATTACACATGATATATTTTTTCTGTAACACTTCCTATTGACTCCTCGAGTCAAAACACTTATTGACTCCTCGAGTCAAAACACTTATTGACTCCTTGAGTCCTAATGTTAAATGCCAAACGTGTGCTATGGATCAATATGACGTATAGATGCCATATAATCTAGAAGACCCCGACATTTTTCTACAAATGATTCTATGAACAATAAGTTCGTAAATAATTTCCCGATCACTTTATTGCAAACAAATGAGGATACACGAAAGCATGAAGATAATACTGGGATTCATTCCTAAGCACGAGCTGCCATTTCGTAAAATTTTCCAGAAAAATTACTCACACTGCGCTCTCATTGGTTTTCGATCTGGAGAACTAGAATTCTTCATTTAGTCACAACGAAACTTTGAGAAATTACTCGATAATTTTTAAGTTTTTATGTGTTATTATAGCTAATTATTTTTCCCTTCGAACTTCGACTGCTAGATTCGTTTACGAATATTCTTGGTTGCTATAGGCGCCAAGATGAATAAAAAATGGTCAATGAAACCATGTACCTCCCCCAAGCCATTGATTCTATTGGTCGAAATTCCGAGAGGAAAAAATTTTTTTGAAATGAATACTTTTGGATTACAAATCATCAAACCTTTCTTTGTAGCCAAGGCAATTTTTACCAGTAAGGTTTGCTGATATTTTCCGTAAAATGATTCAGAACACAGATAATGAAAATGCTACATAAAAAAGAAATTTCCATTACCATAAAATGTGTCATTTCCTTTCAGGTATGCAATAGGTCAATATGTCGATCAATCAGGCGACGTAATAAGCCACTTGAATATCACCTCAGCTGATGCAGAGGATGGAGGTCTCTACGCTTGTGTAGCTCGAAACACCCTAGCGACAGTTGACCACAAAGCTCGCTTGAATATTTATGGTAAAATTCCACTCACCTACTGGGGTTGTTTATTAAACTGGTTTAGGTATCAGGGTTTATGTTGTTGACACGTGTTCAGAAAATTTTCAATAGTAAAATCAAAGAAATTATTGTTTTTTAATTTTACTAATTGGGAATATTGGGATTGTCAATTTTTTCTTAAATGTGATTTTACAATAAGTTTCATATTTCAAAAAGTTATACTATCTGAGAAAATATAATTGAAGTTTACTAACGGAAATTATCTATTTACCTTTAAATTCAACTCATAAAATAAACAACAGATTGATTAGAAGTAGGAGAAGATGAGAAACGAAGATGAGCGACTTCAGGAGAAACTGTCAGGATAAATTTTTTATTGTGAATCTTATCCCTGATGGCTCACACCCAGCCTTGTCTTGTCCAGATTTTCCCACACGCCCAGACGTACTTGGTGGAAACCCACATTTGAAATTAGATGCCCAATGTCGAACGAAATCTGGATGCACGGATTAACCCAGAGTTGTTCATTCAATTGTTGACAATTGAATATACAATACCAATACCATACCATACCATTGCCATAGCAATGTTGTACTATATATATACTTGGTAGCTCTCGTCGTTTTTGTCAGGTTATCAGGCACGACTTGCTCGATTCGCTCCCGCATATCTTGATAACACCTGAGGAATTTGATGGCCTTAGCACGGTCGCCGACGCGATAGATAATACCTTAATTTTTAGTATCTGATAACTTAAGTCACTTTCCGAGGTGTCACTATTATTATTATTTTTTTTTTACTCGCAAATGAGATCGCTGAACGATCCTCGAGGATTCCGACTTCACCTCGAAGACCGTCCAGCAAGCTAAGCGATGCAAACACTTCCTTATCGCTCGGCAACAGTGCTCCCTCTAACCAGAGGGTGAGCTCTATTGCAATCCAGAATCATGCTGCCTAAGTAGACGAAGGGACCCGAGGATGACTGCCTTCTGCATCTGGCCAGCCAAATTGAAGGCTTGACGCCTACAGGTCGCGATGGTTTTGAGCGCAGATATGAATGACTCCTTCATTCCCCCAAGAGAGCCAATGATAAGGACAACCAACTTTACCTTAAATCCTCTGTTTATTTGACGTAGCTCAAACAGGAGTGATTGGTATTTGAACCGTTTCGCCTCTTCTTTAACTGTGATGTTGCTCTCAGTCGGAGCTGAGAACTCAATGACATAGATGATTTTGTCATCAAAATCGAAGAGGACGATGGCAGGTTTCGTCGCAACGACTGGCCTGACAGTCGCGAACGAGAAGTTCCAGTAAATCTTACACCTCTCGTTCACGACAACGGACTCAATATCTCCTGGCGCATACGGCAGCAGTAGTGTTCTGTCTATCCCATAAGAGTGCCGCCGACGGAAATACAGCACTCTCAAAGCCGCATTATGTCGATGGATATAACTCGTGATGGCATATGTCGGGCAAGCCGATAAAAGATGCATCAGAGTTTCGGGGGACCGCTTGCAAGCCCGACATCGAATGTCCGTAACTTGCAACCCCATAACACGACTTCGATAGACTAGGGTGTTTATCACACCATCCTGGTAGGCGCAAATGAAATCCTCAGTTTCGAACATCAAGCCAGCTGACTTCAAAAAAGGGAATGTCAACTGGACGGAGAGACCCTGCTCCTCCACATGGCGGAAGAATACGCCATGCATGGGCCTATCAACGTGCTGTCGGAACAAGTTGGACTGTTACGCCGCTTTGATGGTCGCTCTACGCCGAGATTTGGCCATGGAAGCTAATGAATCACCAGCCAACTGACCATCTCAGCCACGACGAAGTCCAAACCAAGGGACGCCGCTGCGGTATCTGCTGCAGCAGATGGGATGTAATTAGTAAGTTTATTATTATTATTTTTTTTTTTTTTTTCCTCGTGAATGAGATCCCTGGATGACCCTCGAGGGCTCCGACTTCACCTCTAAGACCACCCAGCAAGCTAAGCGATACAAACAAGTCCTAATCGCTCTGCAGTAGCGCTCCCTCCAACCAGAGGGTGAGCACTACTGCAGTCCAGAATCATGATGCCTAAGCAGTCGAAGGGACCCAAGAATGACAGCCTTTTGCATCTGGCCAGGCAGTATCAAGGCATTGCGCCTGCAGGCTGGAATCACCTCAAGGGCAGATACAAAAGACTGTTTCATGCGGCCAACAGAGTCAATGATCAGGACGATCAGCTTGACCCTAAACCTGCGGTTCAACTGACGCAGCTCAAACAGGAGCAGCTGGTATTTGAGCCGTTTCTCCTCTTCCTTCGCAGATATATTGCTCTCGGCTGGCGCCGAGAACTGAATCACGTAGATGACTTTGTCTTCAAAGTCGAAGAGGACGATATCAGGCTTCGTCGCAGCGACGGGCCTGATAGTCGTAAACGAGAAGTCCCAGTAAATCTTACACCTCTCATTTAAGACAACGGACTCAATATCTCCTGGAGCATAAGGCAGAATCGGCGTCCGGTCTATCCCATAAGAGTGCCGCAGATGGTACTACAACACTCTCAAAGCCGCGTTATGACGGTGAATATAACTCGTCACGGCATATGTCGGACAAGCCGACAAAAGATGCATCAGAGTTTCCGGGGACTGTTTGCAAGCCCGACACATAACATCCGGGATTTGCAACCCCATAACACGGCTCCTATAGACCAAGGTGTTTATCACGCCATCTTGACACGCGCAAATGAAGCCCTCGGTTTCAGACATCAAACCAGCCGACTTCAAAAATGAGAAAGTCAGCTGGGCGGACAAGCCCTGTTCTTCCACATGACAAAAGAACACGTCATGCATGGGCCTGTCAACGTGTAGACGAAGCAAGGTGGACTGTTCCGCCTCCTTGATGGTCGCTCTTCGCCGAGATTTAGTCATGCTGGCCAATGAATGACTAGCCAGCTGACCACCTCGGCCACGACGAAACTCCAACTCGAGAGCCTCAGCTGCGGTATCCGCCGCCTTGTAGAGAAAGGCCTGAATCCCATGAAGCTCATAATCGTGCACAAACTCCAAGAGAGGATCCAAGCCGTTCATCGTTATTATTATTATTATCATTATTATTATTATTATTTTATTTCACTCGTAAATGAGATCGCTGAACGATCCTCGAGGGTTCCGAGGGCTCCTAAGCGATGCAAACATTTCCTAATCGCTCTGCAATAGTGCTCCCTCTAACCAGAGGGTGAGCTCTATTGCAGTCTAGAATCATGCTGCCTAAGGAGACGGAGGGACCGGAGGATGACTGCCTTCTGCATCTGGTCAGCCAAACTGAAGGCTTGACGCCTACAGGCCGGGATGGTTTTGAGCGCAGATATTAATGACTCTTTCATTCCCCCAAGAGAGCCAATGATAAGCACAACCAGCTTCACTTTATATCCTCTGTTTATTTGACGTCGCTCAAACAGGAGTGATTGGTATTTGAGCCGTTTCTCCTCTTATTTCACTGTGATGTTGCTCTCAGCCGGAGCTGAGAACTCAATGACATAGATGATTTTGTCATCAAAATCGAAGAGGACGATGTCAGGTTTTGTCGCAACGATTGGCCTGACAGTTCGCGAACGAGAAGTCCCAGTAAATCTTCCACCTCTCGCTCACGACAACGGACTCAATATCTCCTGGAGCATACAGCAGGAATGTTCTGTCTATCCGATAAGAGTGCCGCAGATGGAATACGACACTCTCAAAGCCGCATTATTTCGATGGATATAAGTCGTGATGGCATATTTCGGGCAAGCCGATAAAAGATGCATCAGAGTTTCCTGGGACTGCTCGCAAGCCCGCCATCGAATGTCTGGGACTTGCTACCTCATAACACGACTTCGATAGACTAGGGTGTTTACCACACCATCATGGCAGGCGCAAATGAAACCCTCAGTTTCGGACATCAAGCCAGCTAACTTCAAGAAAGAGAATATCAGCTGGACAGAGAGACCCTGCTTTTCCACATGGCGGAAGAATACGCTATGCATGGGCCTATCAACGTGCTGGTGGAACAAAGTGGACTGCTCCCCCGCCTTGATGGTCGCTCTACGCCGAGATTTGGCCATGATGGCTAATGAATCACCAGCCAACTGACCATCTCAGCCACGATGAAATTCCAAACCGAGGGACGCCGCTGCGGTATATGCTGCCTTATATAGAAAGGCTTGAACCCCAAGCTGCTCACGATCATGCACGAACTCCAAGTGCGGATCCAAACCATTCATAACGTCACAAGCTAAACCGAGGACTAGACTCTCCTCGGAGCCTCCTCCTCGGAGGTTGCGCGACCATGTGGAACCTCCACACTGAGGAATCCTCGTCCTCCACTCTCCCGCGGAAAATATAATCACGGACTCGAAGAGCGTGGGTGGAAGTTTCTGTGGATATTCATCAGTTTGCGGGTATCTCTGTGCAGCTGCTTCAGTTCACCTCTACTCCATTTGAGAACTCAAAAGGAGTAGAAAAGCACCGAGACAGCGATCATGTTCGACGCAGCGACTTTATTCTTCCCGCAAAGTTCGGATTTCGACACTTTCCGCAGCCGCCGCCGGTATTCTCCGCAAAGAGTCTCCTTGACTGGCTCAGCGTCCACTACGGAACGCTGATTGAAGCCAAGATATCGATATGACTCTTCGGCGCCAAGATGATGTATGACGCTTGTATCCACAATCTGATGATCACCCATCTCGTCACTGACTTAGCCCCTCTTTAGATGGATAACGGCACACTTATCCAACTCAAATCTCATGCCAACTGCACGTGAATACACTGCGACAACGTCAAGCAGAACCTTGAGCTGTCGTTCTCCTGAGGCGAATAACTCCAGATCATCCATGTAAAATACATGGCTAACCTGGTGCCTCCTATCGCCGGGTTTTTCAGCTTGATATCCCCCAATACAACGTAGCGCAACAGAGAGCGGCATTAGTGAGATGCAGAACAGAAGAGGACTCAGGGTGTCCCCCTGGCAAACTTCTCTCCTGAATTGCACCA